ATAAGTTCCATAGGCGACTCTAACAACGTTAATTTTTCCTCATTAATTTTAATAATAAACTCCTCTTTAGATTGAATTTTAGAGAAAACGGAGCAATTAGATTTTACACATAATGCAAAAACTTGATTAAAAGATTTAATTAATTTTAATCGAAATGTTATATCTGTGTTCAACGCGTCCATAGTGCGTTCCATGTGCGTCAGTCGTTTCATAAAATAATTTAAAAGATTTAAATTAATATATATTTTAGATATATTACCTGATATTACATTAAGTGTTCAATTAATTAATAAACGAGACTGAGTTGAACAAGACAAGAGCTCTGTTCTGAAAAAAAACTCAATGAAAGTTTTTCTGCTTAAGAGTGTTTCTAGTTATTGATTGGAATGCTTTTACTATCAAAAGGTTGTCTTTCCATTACCAAATGAAATTGCAATTTTTAAGAAAAATTAACGGTAACGTTATTTCAAACTTATGTTTGCACCTATGACACAATCGTAATGTCATTTAAGGCGCAATAATTTTACTATACAAGAACCAAGTCATAATAATTTTAACCTGAAGTCGACATTTCAAACTAATTGTCGACTAATAGAACCAAGTCATAATAATTTTAACCTGAAGTCGACATTTCAAACTAATTGTCGACTAATATGGCCGATACTATTAATATCGAGTTTCATTCATAATGTCGTTTTAATCAAACTATAGTAATCCGACAAAAATGCAGGTGGCCTTTAAAATATTTCATCACTTTTAAATCAAATCAACAAGTGTAAATTGTTTGCAATAATTTTAGCAAAGCTCAAAATTTTTACGACAATAATTTATATCTTAACGATTATCTTTCTTTAAAATTTATTTACGTATTTTATAATTGTTCTCATAATCAGAAAAGTATCAACGATAATTTGAATGTAAAATATTAGTATTAGGCTGAGAATGTTAATTAGGCCTATTTTGTTATAGGAATAGATTTTTTGTGTAAACAAAGCTATATTAATTTTGATACACTTTTGAGGAGTTGTCCTAATCTTGAAATTTTTTTTGTGCATTTAATTTGATTTGCAATTAATTTTCAATAGGGCATCCGATGATGTTCAAGTTTTACTCAAGCGCCTGGTGAATTTATTGTCTTTTGATTTAAATACATAGGTATATCATTTATATTTAAGGAGAAAAATTAATAATGGAAGAATGTGTATCACTTATGCACAATCTTATCATGCTGAAATTACTTGTAAATACCTCAATGGAATCTAAAATGAACGAATGTTCCTAACCATTGTTTTTAAGTAGAATTGTATTGAGTGAGGGGGTACTAGTAAATAGGATGTATATATTACCTGTTCTCTGCTTTCATGTAAATTTAAATCATGAAAATAAAATTCAATATTTAATTGAACACGTTCACACCGGTGACCCGCACAAGACTATTCTACCGCCTCACAGCAAAACATACCAAAATCGGCCCCAGCGTGAACGTGTTAAATATATTGTACAGTTTTAAATGTACTTTTGTTGTATTTGCTACACATTATATTTGCAAAATGTCTTTTGAGAGAATTATATTCTTTTGCCCTTCAGTTTTTTGGGTTAATATTGCCAATGAATTTTCAAAATAAACTGCTGGAATGCAGTACGATTATCATAATTTTTTTTGTAGATTCCAAGTACCTTAATGTCAAAATATTTACAATATATTCATGATTATGGAAATTGTTAACTACGTATAATTTTCTCTAGAATATATTTTAACCAACTCTTAGCATCGACTTCTCAAAATATATAGAAAAAGTGAATAGAAATATAATCGTGTAAATAAATGTACGTATAAGCAAAACAAACATTTTTTGTTTTCAATTATTGTGCGAATAATATTTTGTGATCATATTTCCAACTACGCTTTAGGGCCAATACGACCTTAAAATCTTGCGTAATTAAGGAACCGATGAGTTTTTTGTACTTGGAAATTAATTATTATGAAACTTCGAAAATGTTCACTAAAATCTGTAGAATGTTTGTTTAAAGTGAATTTATAGATCCCAAACTTCATTAAAAGAAATTGTCTATTTACCGCAGTCAAATTGAAGCGAAAAAAGGCGTAGCAATAATTCGCATGGAGCTAAAAATTGGTATAGATGTTAAATAGGCCATTATAAATGAAATGTTAAAAGTCCCCACCGATCCAACCTCAGCGATTTTTTAATTCAAACGCACAAAATTCTGGTTTTCCCCATGAATAATTAATAATATATATTTTTTAGTTGGGGTCTCCGTTCGTGAGAAATTGCAATTTCAAAACTTGAAAAGTACATATTTTTCATAATATACCCCCTTTACAATACGTCGAACCTGTGATAAAAGTAAGAATATTCCATTGATTGGTGTTTAGATAGTACAAATTCAATGAGTCTTTTGAAGTATCAAACTGCAATGCAAGCCATCATTTTCCTTCCTTCTTGGGAGACATATGCCAGCTAGGTCTAAACTAACAAGCTAGTTTTTATCGACATTTTGATCAAAACATTTAACTATCATTTTTTATCGACATTTTCGATCAAAACGTCTTACACTGAATTATTGGTCTTTTGGCTTGTTATCATATAATGATGAGGCAGCGGAAGTTCATCTTCCATCTCAGAAACAAGCACAATTATTCAATATTTTGATGTAAATGTACAAATTTCGGATGGTCATAACACATATGGCATTGATATGTACTTAATTATATTGTTTACTCTTCTATACTAGGAAAATGACCTAGCTGACATGTGTTGCCCAGGAAGGAAGGAATTTGGAGGCTGCCACTAGTTTGATGCTTCAATAGACTCATTGAATTTGCTGGAACTATCTAAATACAAATCAATGGAATCTTAATTATTATTTTTGCTACACGTTAGACGAAGTATGAAGGCTGCATATTACGAAGAATATGAATTTATCAATTTTTGTACAGTGACCCCAACGAAAAAAAGTATAAATCTACCTAATACAATTTTTTGATAGTTCTTACGGTTTTTGCGGAAAATAGGGAAAACCAGAATTTTATGCCTATGACTTTGAATAAAAAATCGCAGAGATGGGATCGATGGGGACTTTTGACATTTAATTTATTTAAATGGCTTTTTCAATATCTATACCATTTTCAGCTCTCTACGAGTTGACCTGGGTAAACGTTTAAGTGCAGAAAATAAAGTTATCCACGCGTTTGAGTAAAATTTCTCGGACTTCTCTATCAAATACATGAATATTGTTCTAATAATCAAATTAAAGAAAATCGAAAAAAATATAGTTTTTCTGAAGGTCAGATTTCAATTAGTTTAGATTTTATATCTTAGTTCTAATTCACAGCGTTACATGCGTTCTGGATTTAGTTAAAAAGGGAATTCTCAAGCATTCTATCATTTCCAGTTATAGAAAATATTATATACAGTTATATTTTAAGTTTGTAAATCGAATTCAAGGAAAATGCATGAAGTTTAAAATTTCTTTGATCAATAAATTTTTTAATGCGGCACAACCAATGAACCTAGGAGTAAATTATCATGCATATTCCTTTGAAATAAACTTCTATAGCTAAATACAATTGTATTCACTCTATAAGTGCTTTTGCTAGCTAAGTTCAACTAAATTTGTCAAAATATGAGTGATTTTGAACTTTTTTGTGCATTTCTATTATTTTACTATGTACACTGCTTGGATTTAGCGATGGTTTACTACGATTTAATATTATGTTGCTTTTACATAACTTTTTTGCATTTAATATTAGATGTCTTATAATTATATTTTAAATATCCATATGAAAGTTGTGGAAATTTTACACTTCTTATTTAATTCTTCTTTACGATACTTTTAAAACATTTTAAAACTTGTAGTATTATTAAGTATTATCTAAACTGCTATTGACTGGTTCACTATAAACTTCTACTTTATGTTTACTGTTATAAACTTTATATCATACTGTAAAATGTATGAAATACTTTTATATAAAATTTGTATTGGTGTTTATTCAGTAGTAACTACTGCTTTTTGTAGTATACTTCATTATCTGCTTAAAAAAAAATCTTTTTTGGTTAAAGAAAGGTTAAAAATGTATTATGATATTTTTAAATCAAACAATTACGTACTCTTTCCAAATAATAGTTAAATTAATATATAGAGATATATCTTCTTAAATATTAACGAAATTTTGCAATTATTGTCGGTTTCATGCAAAGTGCACTTTTTGTTAAATATTATCCATTTTGATTTTTTATATAATACTACAATATAATCAGTGACAACGTAACTTGCAGAATATTTATTTTCAATTCTGAGCAAAAACTGTGCCGGCAACAAAGACCCTATACCACCTGGACAGCGACAGTGTCCTTAAAATTTGATATCCTTCATTAATTCTATGCCAATATAAAAGCAATGGAAAATTATGTCATATATAGACGTTTCCACGTATCAAATATGAAGAAATCTATAAGCGATTATACACGTTAAATCATTTGTTTGGCAATGAGAAGTAAATGTTGAAATATCACATTTTCTTTAACTATTATAATGCATTATAGTCTTACAATTAGTATTAATCTTCATATATTATTCAATGCTCGCACTCAAATTGTAATGTCAGCCATAAAAATGTTTCAACTTGATAGCCTGATTATTTGCATACTTTGTTATAGTAGGCAGAGAAGGCTTGGCAGGGTAGGTAGATTTTACAGGTTTTAGATATTTTATTTATTGATGCACTACTTGCACTAAGCATTAATATTTCATATTTTGTAAGAAGTGCATTCCAGGTAATATAAGGTTCTAGTTGACAGCAAAAATAAATACAAAATCGTGACTTTAAAACTGCCAAAATATTGTAGTACCCTGCATGAATAAATGGAAATGAAGCATTTTTGAGAATTCCGCTATCCATCAATTTGTTAATTTGGTAACAAATATGAACAAAAACAAAAAAAAAATTTTTCTTGCACCAAAAAACCGTCGATAATGATTTAGAATAAACTAGGACATTCTGGAGGGTTTAGTGGTCCAAAAACGTTTAATTCGTAAAGTGAGGCGACCGTAATGAACACCAAATACCAAATCATCAATTGAATTCCAAGTCTTCTATCAAGTTTCCAGCCGTTCATGTGGGTTGCAAATAGGAGAAAGAGCACGGTGGACAGAAGGGACAACGTTGAATATGTCAGACCTAAAATAAAAAAAAGAAATTTTAGAAGATAATTTAATTCAGAATTAAATTGTCTAATTGTCGAATAGAGTTTCGGTAACTATTAATATTATTAAAATATAAAATTAACTTACTAACTGTACTATAACCATACCTTTACTGATAACGTTAACATGAGATCCCGGTTTTATGATTGCCGTTTGAATAAACCAAGGCAAGCCTAGACATATTAGAATGTCAAACACATTAGATCCGACTGCGTTGGACACAGCCATATCACCATACCTTAAATAAATCATTATGAGGATAATTTTATTCAACTAAAAGATATGGTCAAATGAAAATTGATTTACCCTTCTCTGATAACGGCAATACTTGATAAAGCATCTGGTACCGAAACGCCAGCAGCAACAAAAGTTAGACCCATTACTGTATCTGGAATACCCAAGGTGCTTCCTGTGAAAAAAAAAACAGAAAAATAAATACATTTTGAACATTTGAAATCATTTTTGAGGTTTATGGTGCGATTCATTACCAATAATGGTGATCATCCACACCATAAAGTAGGAATAGAAGGAAATCCAAATCATCGACATCAAAAACGTGAAGGGATACCAATTGCGGTATTTTTCTGTTTTACAGTCCGGCATCGTTAGGCGGCACATGTAATGTATTGGATAAACAATTGCCCAAGATATTTGCGCTGGCAGACCTTGAATTGTTAGTAAGATATTTAAGGATACTGTTTTGATGGTAATTTTGATAATTAAAATAAGGATGATATTTTATGTATAAATAATTTACCTCCTTCTGTTGGTTTGACAAGTGGATCACTTTGTTCTTGAGGTCTTGGTTCTTTTGGTCTGTAGTATCCAGGGTTGTCGATTACAGCTTGCGAGGTGGGTGTTGCAACCTAACCACATGTTATTATTATTATAATGTTTTATTGACTTCGATTTACTAATATACAGTTATCCCAACCATATATGTTAAATATTAATATTAATAATCATTTTAAGTTTTGACTTCATATAGGAAAAGTTATTGAAAATTTCGAAAAAGAGGACATAACATGATAAACTTCAGTCACAATCGAAATTTGTCTCGTTATCAGAAGAAGAGTTCAATCGACTTGTGTTAGAAAGCAAAAGTAGAAAAATTACATTGATTCTGCTCAGAAACTTTCAATTTTGCCAAAGGCAGGTCCGCTGTGCACGTGGAAAGCAAAAAGTGCGCAAGTTAATTTTTTGGGGGTCATCTTAATTTTAAATTTTTAATCTTACTTTTTAATTTTTAATCTTATTTTTTTTTATTAAATTCTGAGTTTCATACCATAAAAAAGTAATTTTAAACTTTTCTTAAAATTCACTATAAAAGTAAAATGTTCGAGTTATTGGGGATTTTAAAAACCATGATATTAAATTTGTTTTTTTTATATAACACATGGTTCCGTACCATTAATACAATAGCTTTGAAATTCTTTCCATGACATTAAAGCATGTGTTTCTTATTTTTGCCTTATCGATCATAAGTTTAGACAAAAGTCTAAGTCATAAGTCATATCGATCATAAGTCTAGACAAAAGTCTAAATCATAAGTTTAGACAGTTTAAAAAATATGAAAAGTCTCAAAACATTTTTAAAGTAAAATATTTTTTCATTTGTTGTCCAAAATTTAATATTATTTTTAAAAAATAACTTTTAAAATATAATTATTTAAAGAAAATAAAAAATTATGTATTTTAAAGTTTTTAGTCTAATACTTGATGAACCATCAAATATTTGTTTACGAACAGATAATTTGAAGGCACTATCCCTATACAACTAGTTTAAAATGTCTATACACGGCTCACCGTTTTATTAACTCCTGCCTGATTGACTTCGATCTGTTTTTGAGCGTTGGCGGGATCTGCTGCTGAAGGTTGTTCACCCCATGATTGATTGGGGTCCCACGTTTGGTTCGTGGCCGGTTGTTGATAGTTGTTGGCACTCGTATTGTAACTGGGGTTGGATGGAGCAGTCGTATCTCCCCAGGCGCGATTGGGGTCCCAATCCATGTTGGGGTCCCAGCCTTGATTCACGTTGCCGCCAGTGGCAGTGATATTGGTACCTGAGGGTTAAGGTTTAATATGCTATTTGGATTTATTTAATATATATATATATATATATATATATATATATATATATATTATATATATTAAAACGACCGCCTAGATTTTGAGAGTATTTTCAATGTTATCTGATTATTAATATTATATTTTTTCATATATATATATATATATATATATATTAATATTATATTTTATTAATATATATATATATATATATATATATATATAACGACCGCCTAGATTTTGAGAGTATTTTCAATGTTATCTGATTATTAATATTATATTTTTTCATATATAGAAGCTACATTGTATACCTTGTTCTACTTCTGAAATCTGGTTTACTTGTTTTCCATCGGGTGAAGTGTAACTCGTTTTCTGTTGTTCTTCAGGAAGATTTTTATACGTTACTAGGGCGGATTGTTCTTCCTGTAAAAAACACAGTAATATGTCTATTAATAACAAATTAATTATTTGATGAAGTTTAAAAAAATGGAAAGATGTTGAAGTTCGTTATTTTTCGGGTAACTTCGAGGAATATCAGTTACGCATACTCATTTTTTATAATGTTGATTTTTTTTGAAAATGTGTTTCAAACATGAAGTAAAGTTACATATTTTTATACCAAAATTCTTATTTTGTTTGCACCAAAAGAGACTTTCAACATGTGACGTTTATAGAATAAACAAGTTTCAAAACAATTTAATTACTTTTTATTAATACGGTTGCCTAAAAAAACTTACAATTTTCTTTTCAGTATCCAAGAAGTTAAACACAGATACACTTACATTTGTATGTAAATAGCTATTAATCAATATCAATATTATATTATAGTTAGGCAAAAGAAAAAAAAAACTAATAGTGCTATTAGAATTATATTCATTCTAAGAAAATTTGCAATTATTTTTAAAAGTACGTAATCTTTTGAGTTCTTATATGCTCGAACTATATATGTATATAATATGTTCTTACCCTGGTTGGAAGTTTTATGGGTAACTTTAAGTTGTGAGCCCAATTTTCCAGAGCTGAATTGAAATGCAACGCCACGCAGTATACGACATACATCAGCAGCATTATAAGCGACTCGAACCTGCAAAACGATTGTGTCAGCATTTCCAGTTGTTCAATGAAGATTGATTAACCAATTTTAGATACGAAATGAACAAACTAGATTTGACTACAAAATGTCGCTTAATATTTATTCACGTTTTTTAAAAAAATACTTTTTTAATTCTTGTTACCATAAACTTTAATTATTTAAATTAAAAATAAAAACTCATTATTACGATAAAAGTTTAAAGTCGAAGGTATTTTTCAAGTCGATATTATTGATTATTGATCTCGCTTATTTAGAGCATTTTGACACACCTTTCCACACAACCATACATTTTTTTTAATATATTATACTATTTTTATTATATCATATACTATCTTTATATATAGTATAGTATAATATAGTTTATAATTAATTTCTTTATTCTTCTTTTTTTCCTAACCTTGCTTTTTATTCAACTTCTAATTCTATTCTATCTCAAATCAACAATTCAAATTCTACTTAATTTTAATTCAACAAATCAAATGACAATTCTATGTCAGTGCCAGGACTCGAACACTGTTGATTCACGTTCATTTGATATTAGCCTTTGCTTATATTGGTAATAAAAATATAAATAGTTTTGTTTTAATAATGTATAATAATGGCATTTTTGGACATCTTTGTAGAACAATCTGCTAACAAATTTTGTTCATTATTGATTTTTATATGTCATCTGGTGTTAATTAAAATAATTGTACGACTTTGTTTCATGAATATTGTATTTATTATAGATTTGTATATTTGTTACTATTAACTATACTTTATAATTTTTGTTTTTAACTACTCACCAACTGATGACATCATTGAAGATGGTGAAGAGCATAACAAGTATCGATATTAAGTAGAAGAAACAGTCGCGGACCAGAGGCCACCAATTTAATTGACTGACAGTTCCCGAACATAAGGCGCACACTGATATCACGAACATGATGTTGAATACGGCACTCCCTATCACTCCGCTCACTCCTGAAAAAGATCGGTCAAATTTTATCGACATCGTACTTTTTGCATTTAATTTTGCATTTTTCATTTCCACTCACAACCGTCAAGGTGATAACATGTTCATAGGTCAACAAATAGTTCTACATATAAACTGGTTATTTATGCAATTGTTATTGTGGAGAACAAATTTAATTTTATAAATTCAATATAATATTGCAAAAAAAAAACATTTTCTATAGCGTAGTGTTAACACGTGTTGAATTATTCCCTTCGGCGAAATAAATAACATTCCGCAGATGTGCTTCAAGATACTTCTATGATAATTGTAAGGTAAATGTACCATATTACGGGATTTTAAGGAACGTTTGACTTTAAAGATGATTTGTAAAAAAAGTAGGAAAGTGAACGAGCTAAAACTGGTTTATTCTATAAATTAGACTTATAAGATCATTATAGACCAAAATTTTGCGGCGTAGATTTTCATTTATAAAAATAATTGGCATTTTTCTGAACTATGATTTTGTCCCTAATTCCGTGATAAAATTCGGCTCGTGAACGTAATGTCGAGGGTCGTTGTACACTATTCCGTGATAGCGCTCGAAGCATACATTTTTGATCGTATTGACTTGATAAATATACTTCAATTCGTTATAAAAAATATTTTTAACTAGTGGGGTGCATGACATCGTTCCTTAAGGCAAATTAAAGAAAAATATAAGAGGTTGAAAAACTGGTTATTCATTGGTTAATTATTATAGTAACAGTATAATAATTATTATCAATACTGAAAATTTCGGTAAATAAATAAATCAAATAAAAAATTTGAAACAATGAAAGAATAATTTTTAATTGCTATTAAACAAAAATATAAACTTTAAATAAATATAAAATTTAAACTTGAAAAACTGAAAGAACGATTTAAAATCATATGCAAATATATTTAGTAATATTGAATATAATTTTAATAGTTTTTAATAAAGTGTATTATACTATTAGAAAGCTACTGCATTCAGGAGTAGCATCGGCAACGTGTTTTTAAGTAATTGCAACTCATATGAATTTAAAAACTTATGATGTATGTTCGTTTTATTAATATGCAGGTTATATAATGGTTATATTCCAAAAGATCACTGCTTTAATCGGATCAAAACTACCCTGTTTACAGGAATGTTCCTGGGTCTCTGCATACATACATACATACCAGCGTCCTAGTCAATCCGTAGTAAGTACCGTGCGCTATACGGGGTTTATTTTTATTTTTATTCAATTTATATAAGAGAAATAATTGATCATAGATGAAAAGGTAGACACAAATGAGTCTTTCTCAAAAATAATTACTACGATATTCTAGGTATATTGGAATAATGCAAATAAGTGGAAAGAATCGTGCACTTTCTTGCGAAAGAGTGGTCATTTCAAACCCAATTATTAGGGTTAAAAACTTAAATAAAACATATACCGTAATTACATTACAGTATTCTGCTTAAAACTTATTAACACCAGAAACACCGCCGTATTTAAGCACAGTTAAAAATTAAAGACAAAAATATTTTAAGTCTACTTTTCGTAATTGCGGAATACACACGGAATTGCGTACACTGGCTCAGTTGTGTGAACCCAATTACGGGAGTCATGAAATTGACAATTTATTGACAAATATATGCTCGATTTAACTATAAAACTAATCTCTTATTAATACTGATAAATAATTTCACAAACTTCAATTGATTAAGCTTACCAACATCGAATAAAAACCTTAAGCAATGAAACCGTCACATTAACTAGCTAACAACCCAATACAGAATGGCGATCGGGTCACGACCGATGTGCTCAAGAGCTTTTTACGGCTTTAAAAACTAATATTTAAATTCAAAAACTCGTACTTTGTTATGATTCAAATAATGTGCTATTGTACAATTAATGTGCTATTGCATAAAATCATTATTTATTGACCGTTTTCTAATTTTGCGATTAAAATGAAAAACTCCCGTAATAATGTACTATCCCGTAACAGTGTACATTTACCTGATCACGTCAATGCTGATTAAGTTGAAAATTATTTAATAAATAATGCAAATAACATAACACCACAATTAAATAGTTCTCAAGATGCACAAATGGATGAAGATAGTAGCTTAAATAAGGGACATCTATCTCAGCTAGCCCCAAACCTTAAGAAACGGAAATTACTTGGAACACGTTTTCCGTATTCAATTAATTTACAAAACAGGTATGAACCTTTTTTAAAATCAATCAAACAAGTCAAACAAGTACCGGTAGTAACTCTCAAAAAACGGATTCTGATGTGTTTCGTAAACTTTCAAAACTCTGTAGGAACACTCTTTAGGAGCGTATCGGGTAGTCATAAGACCTGCACCATACAACGGACGTAAGTCAAATTGTCAATGCACTTGCAGCATTGCGTCATAAGGTCAGAAATGTTACAAATATTATTAGCAGAGTAACTAAATTACCTCTCAATCTTTTTTATGTAGATTTAGAACCGAATAAAAATAATAAAGATTTCTATTTGATAACAAAAATTCTAAATCACATTACTTGTGCGGAACGTAATAATAGTAAAACAGAAGTGGTACAATGTAAATGGTGATTACTATTCGGACACACTAAAAGATACTCCAACAGACTCCACGTTTGTGCCAAATGTTCGGATAACCATATAGCACTGCTGACTGTAAAAAGTCGAACGATATACCGAACCGCTGCTATCAAAGTTCTATGGAGCACAGTGCTCATTATCATAGATGCCCAATTGATCAAATACAATACAATCAAAAATTCAAACTAGTGGGGCGCATGGCACCGTGCCTAAAGGCAAATTGCTGGAACTTCCCGTACCCTAATTAAACATTCGAGGAATGAAAATAATCAATAAATGTTCTGAAGATTTTCAAATAGATTATTTATTATAAATACATACTGTAACTTTATAAGTGCTTTTTAAATTGGGCGATGAGCGTATTTTATAAACAACTTATGTGTACGTTTATAAGAGTTCATTTTTTTTAATTTGATTTTTTTTATAATTTAGAAATTTTTTGATAATTTATAAATTTTATCAAAATTTTGAAATTTTGTTCGAAGTTTAAAATTTTTTGAAATATAAGAAAACGTTTTGTTGAAATATTTTGAGAATTTGAAAATTTTTGAAATTCGTTTTTTTTAATTTTCTTAATATTCTCAAATTTTTGTAAGAAATCTTTTTTTTTTCAATTTTTCAAAGTTACGTTTTTTTTTGAAAATGATTTAAAAATTTTAATTTATTGACACAATATTAAAATCTCTATATCCGATATATGTACATATGTCCAATAAACATTTTTGACCTAAATGGCAATTTTTTAACTTATTTTTATTGAGACTCCATAACCGCTAGACCTGCCTTCCCAAAAATTTTACCAGTTGTTCATTTCGTCAATACAAGTAAAATGTTTTTTGAATTATTATAATCGGACGGTGGCGGACGTAGCTCAGAGGTAGCATGTCCGACTCACATGCCGGAGATCGATGGTTCGACTCCTGGCGCTTCCAAATAATTGTTAATTTGTAGAATACAAGAAAAAAATAGAAGTAAATAGGAAAAAAGAAGTTTAGAAGATGATAAGAACATGTTGAGAAACAAGAAGAAGAATGAAAATTGAATGGAAGATTAGGATATAAGAAGAGATAGTATATATATGATGAATGTATAAGAAATATATATGTAAGAATTGTATAGATTATGATGAAGAATAAAATGAATAATAATGCTGTAAAGCGGATGCCAATAAAATTAAAAAAAAAAACGGACACTCCGTTCTCTTAAAAACTGAGTTACCGTTTTTGACACTTTTTGTCCCGTATCTTCGGAACGGCTGGACCTGCCTTCGCCAAAAACTAATCAGCATGTCTCCTTATCAATACGAATCGGTTGATCGGTGTTCCCGAAATCGTCGACGAAAATTTGTATCCGCACACACACACATACATCATTTTTTTAATGGATATGGCGGAATGAACACGGCCACATGACAGATGTCAGTTGAATTACGCCAATTTGATGACAAAACTTCACAGCATCCTTGGAGCTTCCCTGATGCAAACTTCACATCAAGCAAGCTATAGGAGATTATTGTTTTAGTACTATCGTAAAATGGATTCGGTTTTAATCATCGAGCATTTTGTCGGGACTAAAAAATGATATCGAAATTGATATAATTATAAATCGAGTTTAATTATAAATTTAGTTTTCAATAAACTGACATCACCGACGAGGCAACATCAGATAATTGCGGTTTCACTTCTAATAATAATAATATTTAATAATAAATGGCTCACTTCGGCCATAGATACTGAACTAGTAGAAATATTACATAAATCAATAGAAATGGTGGAAGCTATTACCCCTGTCAAACCGAAGAAAGTCAACTATGAAATTCAAAAATTAAAAACAAGAAAGTCTTTGGGCTATGATCTAATAGGTAGCAAAACTAATGGGGCGCATGGCATCGTGCCTTAAGGCAAATTGCTGGAACTTGCCGTACCGTAATTAAAAATTCGTGGAATGAAAATAATCAAATCAATTGTTTTAAATAATTTCAAATAGATTATTATAAATACATACTTTAAATTTATATGTGCTTATTGGGCGACGAGAGTATTCTACAAATATCTTATGAGTATGCTTGCAAGAAATTTTTTTTAACAACAATTTTTGTTTTGATGTTATATGTTTTATTTACAATAGACATACCGACGCCTCCAAACTCTACTACCTTTGCTGATGACAATGCTATCATATACAGAAATCATAGTCCCGCGCTAGCATCTGAACTAACTCAACTAGTGGGGCGCATGGCATCGTGCCTTAAGGCAAATTGCTGGAACTTCCCGTACCAAAAATTATTTTTTTAAAAACGATTAACATTTTTGAAAAAAAAAATAGATTTTTGAAAAACTATAAATTTTTGAATTTTTTTTTTTGGTAAAAAAACTTTTTGAAAAAAATGATTTCTTTATTTTTA